TATATAAAATCATAGTGACAAACTAGAACTAAAAGCCAGAGTCACCTAAAAAACATAAAAAGTTTAAATAAATATAGCTTCCATTTAAGTTGTTAAAGAAAGAGCCTAAGAGATAGTTGTGCACTACATAGTGAACACGGAAAGACAAAACTACAACGTTTTAGAGCAGTGAATGGTCATGACTGTACATGGAATAAATCATGTCACTGGTTTGTAAGATGTTATGGTGCATGGTGTGGTTCAGAAAAAGAAAGAAGGGGAATGTGACCGTGAAGATCAGCCAGTCCACCCAGAAACCCGACAGATGCCCAGCAAAGACCAGGGTGGAGCTGGTGAGTAAAGTACCTCACCTGGACAGACGTGGACTTGGGGTTCCTTGTGAACGTCAGCTTTAGTATGGGGTCCATTTGTGTGTCTGCTGCAGGGAGGTGCGCTCAGTGGGACAGTCCTGACAGCATCTCTTCGGACATGGACACAGGATGCATTGTCAGCATTTCTGTTTTTATTGTGATGATGGTAATTCAGTTTATTTTTTTGATTTGGGGCTTGTACTGTTGTAAAGCAAAGGGTGGAGAGAGTGAGATATGATAGAACCAGCTAGTTTCATGTCAGTACATTGTATTTTAAGGATGTGGTAGTCCAGTGAAATATAATGTAAGGTAAAGAGATAAATTAGATTTAGAGGAATGGATGAACACTTACAGCAAACTTTATGTTACATAATAGTGTGATGGTCTTTTTTTTCAAGTAGAAAATATATAGTTAAGCCAGAGATACTGGCACATGCCTATAATTCCAGCAGTCAGGGGGCTAAGGGAGGATGGCCACAAGTTTGAGGTCAATGTAGACTACATGGTGAATTTAAGACCAGCCTGAACTACGTAGCAAGATCTTATCTCAAAAAAAAAAAAAAGAAAGAAAGAAAGAGGAAAAGGAAAAGGAAAAAGAAAAGAGACTAAAAGAAAGAAAAAAGGAAAATATACTATATATAATCTCTTCAGATTAAAAATTTGAAATGAAAAACATAAGGAAACTTTACCTCTTCGCATTCCAGAGCCAGAAATGTTCTTTGGCTCATCATAAATCCATTTTCTTTTTTTCACACCTTTGAAATGAGGCTTTTTCACTGGCTGGACATCATTTACTTGGAGGGGACACAAATTGTTTACAGTTTTTAAGAGATGCTTTCATCTAAAAATTACTATGGATGACAATCATACATCTGTACATTCACATGTTCAGCAAGATAAAAAATAAATGAACCACCCCAATAAATTATAAAAGGAAGAATAATTCATATTTACATGTCAAAATAATCTATCTTGAAAACATATTACTATGAAAACTTTCAATAAGTTGCTTTCTAAAACAAAGTGATTCATTTTTAAGCATCAAAATAATCTATCTTGATAACATATTGATAAAACTTTCAGTAAGTTGTTTTTCTCACAAGAATGCTTTTCCCCAAAGGAATTTGTAGATTCTACTAAAAGAACATAAAATTATATTCTAAATATAATTATAGGCAGCATTATAGTATATTTTAAGTTAATTTTATAATTACTATTTTCAGTGTAAATTATTTTGTACTACTACTGCTTGATAAGTTGAATTAATTCACTAAAATACATTTAATGAATTTTAATTATCTTCTTAGGATCTTAATAAGTTGGATATATAATTAGCTTGGACAAGCAAGACTGAATAATCAAATTTGTGGTAACATCATAAATTCATAACCTTTTTTTGGTTTTATTTACATATTTTATAACAAATTTTCTATGTGCGCTCTTCATTTTCCATATATTTCAAAGATATATTTTCCCAGAGACTCTTAAAACAATATAACAAAAGGAGTATTCACAAGGAACTACTGTGCAAAGAAAATGGAAAGCCAGTGTGCTGAGCACTCAACTAACTCCCCATGTTGAACTAATTCACCTGCTTTGCCTTAGCTCTCACCTCAGTTGAAGATTTCAACCTTCCATGAAACTCTGATTGACTGTCTCCTTGCTGAAATAACAAACCCACATCCCCTCCCAAGTACCCAAGGAGCTAGAAAAGAAGCTTTTAACAAGCACGCTAATGCAAGCTTCCTGGAGGAAAACCACACTGGTTCCACTTCAGTAGCTAGTTAAGAACTAAGAACATTACAGTTCAGTAAATGAAATAAGGAAACAAAGAAAGTTGTAAAGGAACAAAGAAGGTTCAGAAGTCCTAACTGCATCAAGATCCAGTAGGTAGGACAAAGTACTGAATGTGAAAAATCCCAATCAGTCAAAATAATATACAATGTGATTGTAAAGAGTCACAAATGCATTCTACTATGAGTGAAATTTAAAATGCTATACTCGTGAATCTTCAAAGAAAGTATATTATCAGTTTTAATATCTCAATTAAAGCAATGGTTGACAGCTCTTTCTTGATTCTGTTGGTGGTGGTGCATAGCCATTCTCAGTTGGTAGAGCTAATTGTCTAGTTCATTCTCATAAATTAAACTAGTGGACATAATTTATTAGGACTGCATCACAATTCATTGTTGGAGTTAGAAAAGTACTGTGTCTTTAATTCTTAGTTCTGAATAATTTTCAAACCTTCCACTTTTTATCTATTTTAAAAATTATGTATTACAAAAAAAAACCAAACTCATCATAAGGTAAATAAATTTAAGGCCTAAAAGCAATAGAGCGAAGGTCTCACTTGAGGAGGTGTCCTCTCTGGACTTCACACTAATATTTTCAGTCGCATTTAATACATGTACAGTAGGCACTAGTCGGGTAGTTAAGGAATGCGTTGGATGTGGACTGTCCTTGTTATCTTTCAAAGCAAATTAAGAAAATAGCATGTCAATATTAATGAGGAAGCATTTCAGCTGGAATTTTACTTTTCAAACATTCTGCAATCCTAGGGCCGGCCAAATAGCTCAGTAGATTTAAGGGCCTGCAAGCAGGTGCAGGGACTGGGGGTTTGATCCCCAGGGCCTTCCATGTTGGCCTCGCCTCTGGGATGCACTGAGATGGCAATTGAGACTGGGCGTGATGGTGTGCACCTGTAATCCCAGCTCTTGGAAGGCTGTAAACAGGCGGATCACTATGAGTCTGATCTAGTAGTAAGACTCTAAACACCCTGTAGACCCCTCTCTAAAATATATATATATGAAAAAAAAAGTTTTGCAATCACCTCTCCAATATGTATACATATTAATTTTAGAAAGCACCTTTAAAATGTCTTATATGTCATGCTGTGTTTCATATACTACTGAAAGAATTTTAAATTATAATAATCAGCCATTGTTATGTTCAACAGACAAATGGCATCATTATGTCAATATTTTTAAAGCCTTCATGCCAAAGAATTAAGGTATTAATTTTACATCAGAGGATCTACTTTAAATTTTCAAGAATACTTGAAATGTAACAGCTTTCACTTGCTGTAAGCTTTGGAGTAGGTCTATTAGTTGACTTTCCACAACAATGAAAATCTCCTAAGCTAGTGCTGTACAATATGATAGCCACTGGCCACACGTTGCTATTGAGTATATATGGTTCAGTGAAGTTGAAAAACTGAATTTTTAATTTTAATTAACTCAAATTTAAGCTGTCACACAGCAATTTTAGTGTAGGTTTTTTTATGAATTCCTTTCATGGGTTGCACAAACCTTTTGTATCTATGAGTGAGAAACAGAGGTTTACTTATAATTTTCAATGAAAAACTTTAATTTGATCACAAATGCCTTTTCCTCTTCTTGAGGATATTTAATGATGAGGGAAAAAACAGAAGATGAAATGAGTTTACATTTTCTTAGAGAGAGACACCTGTACTTTTTAGGTTGGGCTGGAGAGAGGTGGGCAACAGAAAGGTACTAGCTGGGGAATCTATGCACACAGTAGGACAGCATAAAACTATAGAGAAAATATTTTATCACATGTTTTGGTTATTCACAGACTGTAAGGAGCAAGATCTTAAAATAAGGAAGTCATCCCAAAATTAATAATCTTCACAGTGTTCCCAAACAATGCTTTCTAAAGAAATTCAGTGGTTCTGAATTGGAAAAAGAAAACTGAAAATGACTTGGAATTACCACCTAAGAGAACCAATAACTTTAAAACTAGCAATAGCTCGAGAAATAAAGTAGTTCAACAGGCTAATTTTTCAGATTAAGAAACTAAAGCTGAAAATACAAAAGTCCTATGACCAATTAGGGACAAAGCTAGAACTAGAAGCTTGAGGCTTCTGACATCCTGTTGAGTGTACAGTTTGACTTCTTACCTTCCCTCTCATTTTGGCCTCTCTAACCAGCAGCTCTATGTTCACTTTATCTATCCAAAATTACAAATGGGTAAATAATATGATGGAGTGGTTACCTTTGGTATTTGGACATTTTGACATGATGATCCCTTTGTCTTCAGTTAAACCTTCACTTTCATCTACTCCAAGAAATACAATCCTTTGTGGAACAGAACAGTCGCCTCCTAAATCAAAACCTCAAGGTCAGTGGCAACAACAGCAGAATGTGCTACAAAATCACCTTTCAATACAGCAATATCCTCTACCATGTCCTTTTTGTCAACTGTTGTTTAAATAGTTCTCAGCAATACCATCCCTAATCCCTATCCCTATGTGTATTACAAATTCTTATACTAAAACTTATGCATTAATATATTGGTGTGATCAAGACATCTAGTGAATATTTAATTTTGTTTTAAATTATAATGAAGAATGTCATTACTTGCTCTCAAAATACTCCCAATCTCTTTAAACACATTCGATCCCGTTTCTTCATGTCTTTACAAGGTGTGATTAAAAGTATAGTGAATGTTGCTGCTGAGAACTATCCAACAGGAGGACAGACTCATGAGAACATATCCTGTGTCCTTGTCCATCTAGTTCACTCAAATGTGGTACTGAGAAACTTAGAGCTCATCCCCCAAGTCAAAATGACCACAAAAGGATTATTGAATTAATTCAGGACAACAGGGCAACCAGGAAAATGTAACTCTTGAGGCTTGCAAAAAGGATTTCCAGTTGCAAGAACAATGCGCAAGAGTGTTGAAAGCACAGGGTGTATTTTAAAGGAGATTCGTGGTGCTATATTTTTACTATAATAAAATTTTTAGAATTTATATATCCACTGTTTTTATTCACATTTGATATACCCATTTGAATACCCTATATAAACATACGTCTAGAAAATTGTAAGAGAATTAACATACTCAACATAAATGACTTTATAAGAAACTTTTTAGTTCCACCTTTAGAGGTACTTAGAGTAAATGTAATTTATCTTCCAAATAAAACTTTCAGATCTATGGAAGTAGTTTTCATGTTCCTAAAAGGCCTTTTATTTTCAGGCCAAATATCCATAATTGCTTTAAATACTACTTATGCACAAAATTTCCAGAACCTTCACTTATACCAACCATAGCTTTCTTAACATATTTGTTTCAAATAACTTTTTAAAATAACACCCAAATGTCCACTAACTGTGGAGAAATCAGAACTAATAAGTTGACAGTTATGTAACATTTTTCTACATGCAGGTCCTCCACTGATTCCTTTAAGGGACTTAACACACTTGATTACCTTCTTATACTACTCATAATAATTCAGTGTGCATTGGCCTTACCTTTTGGTAGTGAAAGCTACTATTCAATTGCTCTAAAATCAAAAAAGAACATTTCCTTCTCATGAATTACAGATCACATCAGATTCTCTTGATTTGAAGAAAGCACATCATTAATGTCTTAAACTGAAAGGTATGACTTTACAAAGTCTATCACTATTTGCTCACTTTGTTATATTTGGCTCTTTGTTTCAGCATATTAACTTGTAGTATCTCTAAATTTTATAGGTATGCTTCCATTCACCTAATTATTCAACACTTTTAAACACACATTTATTCTGTAAGCATTTATTGAATGCATGTTATGCAGCCAGGCCTTCTACTGCAGAGATCTAGCTGTAATAATTGATTACGTTTGATTCCTGGCTCAACCAAAAATTTTGAAAAGGCTTGGTTTTTGCTATGACCAAATGGTTTGCTTCCTACCAAAAAAATACCTAAAATAAAGTGATTGGAAAACGATGCACTAGATTGTGAGGTCTGAGGACAACAAAGGCACATGATTAAATTCTGTCATCACATTCACTGTGGCTTTTTCCACCAGTGACTGAGGATCCACACTTAGCAAGACTTCTCCATGAAAGAAAACAGTTCTAATCCACTGTGCAGAGAACCATCTCAAGCAGAAAGTGACCAACCAGAAAAAAGAAGGAGTCTAAACTTTAGGCTTGTTGGCTTAAATCAGAGGGTTAAATCTGAAAGAAAAAAAAAAAAAAGAAAGAAAGAAAACAATTCCCCCTGAAATATACCTAAGCTATAACCCGTTGCCTGATTCCACACTTTCTATGCACAGTGTAGGTCATTTGGAAAACAATTAAAAGAGGATCCAGGATGTAAAAAAACTAACCAGAAAATTCAGTCCAGTACACTTCTTACAAGGTACAATTGGGAGTTCAAAACACCCTTGGTAAAATATTTTGGCAAATACCCATGCTTTTTGTAGAAAACCCAGAAAGGTAATGTTTTAGGAAGAAGATCCTGTCTTCAGAGTAAGGACAATATCTCAAGAGAAAGAACATGTGATACTATGTCATTCCTACTAAAGTCTGACACCAACCGTTCACTAAATGAAGGTGGCCTGCTGAAATTCTAGTTGCCTATCAAAAGAAAAGTTTGCTTTCAGAAAAACAGCTTCATGTGTGCACTATATGGTTTTTATCCATAATTTTCATATAATTAATAACCAGAAGGCATACCAAGAAACAGAACAACCAATTTAAAAACATGGGCAAATGGAAAAGATCCACATATTTTCCACAAGGAAATTTTAAAAAGAACACAATTGACATCAACATAAAAGACTGATACAAAATTTTCTGTAGTAATACACAAAAATGTCAAATAGAAAAGAATAATTTAATAAATGGAGTTAAAGGCAGAAACAAAGAGGATTAGTCAGAAAGATAGCTTCTTGCAAGAACCAATAAGAAAAAGATAATTTTAAGTGTATTCAAGACATAAATATACAATATAAGAAGTCAAAATGGCCGATAAACTGATAAAGATACGTTTAACATAATTTTCAGAAAATATAAATCGAAGTTACAGTGTGATAACATGGGCCATGCACCAGAATGCCTCAAATTAAAAGGACTGAAAATACTAAGGATTGTCAAAGACACAAAGCAAGCTTAATCCAAAGAAAATGAATGTACATATCTTTAGGACATATGAACAAAAATATAATATCCACAAACTAGAAACAATGTCTACCAAACCTCAAACTCATAATATTTTCATAGTTTTTCATAAACATATGCAGAATAGTTTTTAAAAAATTAAGTTATTGACCCCCACCTTCCTGGCTCAGGTCCAACAAGGTGAAAGACTCAAAAGTCTTGCTCTAATGTTTATGCAGATATGACCAGAGTATGAAGACTGTGGGGAGCGGGGCGCAGTGCCAAAGCTCCGGCTCTGAAGCAGTGCCAAAGCGTTGGACTCTCAGCTCTGACATCTGCTAGTGCAACAGCCTCAGGAGTCATTTAATGCTTCCGAACCTTGTTTTCCTTTTAACAAAATAAAATAGAATCTACCAAGATGAGCAATTGTATGATTTAAGATTTTAGTTTATGTGACGTGAATATGTATGGAGTGTGTGTGTGTTTGTATATGTGAGTGTGTGCTCAAATTTGCCTTAGGAACAATGGTTCAGTATTTGCTAATTTAGCATTGGTATAAAGTTACTAGGTATAAGAATCCTCTCTGTCTCTGTCTCTGTCTCTGCCTCGCTCTCATAAATTGACTCACCTCCATTTTCAAAAGCAGCAATGTCTGTTCTTGGTTTTCCATCCAATAATACTTTTGTTTCACCTTGCTTTTCAACAAGGTTAAGTTTTGTGGGAATTGTAAGCCCATCCCCTAGATATTAGGAGGAAAAGAAATAAAAAGTCACAACAAGTATCATTAAAAGTTTAAATAAGTTTACAATAGAATTCATAATTTTAAGCAACTAGCTTAAAAATTAACATCGTTTGCACAGTAATAAATATAATAATTTTAAGTAAATTTTTATTGCTGTCAACAAAGCCAGCAAGTGTATTATCCTGTTTAGATTACAATCAAATGGCAACTTGAAAAACTAATCTAAAAATATCTGCATACATATCATAATTCATTTGATTTTTCATGTAACGACTTTTACAATATTCTTTGTTTTAATATACTTACCATAAACAATCAAGTGAAAAATATTATTCACTCTGAATTACAAATTCTAATTATGCTATGATAATTAAATTATTCTGCCAGTTCCCCCATACATATCTAAATAACTTTTCCTAAGATAAATTGTCAAAAGTAGAAAAAATTACAAGTCAGAATAATTAATGTATGGCTGTAAACTGGATCTACACAAGCAGAAAAACAACTCTGCTATAAAGGACATTAATGACACAATATGGAAGAGGAACTGTAAATAATTTATCAGAGTAATTTTCTAATTTTAATATGTATACTACAAGAATATAAGAGGAAAGGAGCATCATGTTTATAAGTTATTCTCATACACACAAACAGTTCAGAAAACAATAACAACATGCATATTTAGAGCGTGAATGCTAACATCTGGGAGAGATGTAGGACAGAGGTGCCAGGAATAACTGAATCTACAAATAAAAAGCTTTTGAAAGCCTAATAAAAAGAAAACATAAATGAATGGCTTCATAGGCTTTATTTTTAATATTAATTGCTAACTTTTGTTTCTTCTTGTCCGAGTGGTGTTGGCTTGCAATCTGCTCTGCCTGTGCAGTTAGCACTAAGGTGGCTGGCTGCTCTCATGTTCTGATGGTCTGTTGCTGCCACCTACTGCTGCGTGTGCACTTGATTTGCCACATAAGAATTAGCAAAATAGTTTAGATGCTCTGTTCTGTACCTGACATTTCATCCTGTACTTACCTTACATCCTCAGATTTCTCAACCACCTGTTTCCCCCTCTCCTATTCTCCCCATCCTCCCTCCCTCCCTCCTCCTCTCTCTTCTCTTCTCTTCTCTTCTCTTCTCTTCTCTTCTCTTCTCTTCTCTTCTCTTCTCTTCTCTTCTCTTCTCTTCTTCTCTTCTCTTCTCTTTTTCTCTCTCCCTCCTCTCCTCTTCTTCCTCTTCCCCTTCTTCTTCCTCTTCCTGTTCCTCCTCCTCCTCCTTCTCCTTCTTCTCCTCCCTCCTCCCTCATCCGTCCTCCCTCCTCCCTCCTCCTCCATTCTCTCTCTCTCTCTCTCTCTCTCTCTCTCTCTCTCTCTCTCTCTCTCTCTCTCCCCTCCCTCGCTCCATCTTTCCATCCTCTCTCTACTCTCTCACCACTTCTCCAACCTCGGAGAAATAGGGAAGGTTTCATTTTTCTCCTAGTACTCCAAAATATGTTTGTAAACTCAACCTAAGGGCAGGAAAACCATATAAATTCCTGCCACCCACAGATTTTTCTATGTTCTTGATTTTAATCCACAATATTATGTTCTTTTTACATCACCTGAAAAGTAAAATGTTCAGCAGAATTCAAAGTGCCAAGAAAATGCTCCTTGAAAAAAGAGGCTTGAAACTGCCCGGTGTACAGAAGACATCCACTGGTTCAATCAGCAAACACATCTTTGTTCAGATACTGATTTTATTTGCAAGCTCCCATTTGCTCTTTTTGCACTAAAATATCTCTTCTGTTTAGAAATAAAAACCTTTTCCTATTTCACATAAACATCTATTTCATAAATGGATAAAATGGTGAAAACCAATCGTGTACAGAATTATTGGATGAGGTATATTTATTACCTAGCTCCTTTAAGAACACATCGTTACATTAACAGCAGATTTTCATGGGAAACTTGAAACATTTCCTTTTTCTTTTAAATCCAATGTATTATTTATCATTAAATACTGCTCTAGGGGTACATGCTACTGAATAATTCACAGCATATCATACCACATATCTTTTATACATCAATTGGAATGTTACCTTTTCATTCCTTACCTTCTTGCAATTCGCTGCCATTTTCCGAAGGCTTTTCTAGCTCTTTCTCCACTGTAGGAGCTGTGCTTTTTGATGCCGGAGTATCTGCAGGAGCATGAAATCTATAGTATTCGCCTAGACATCCCATAAGGAAAGAATGGTTAGTACATGTCACATCATCTATGTATAACGTCAAGTATTAGAAAGTTCACAGATGCTTAAGCTCTTACCGGATTTATAACACATCTCCTTTATTACTCTTTTTTCTTCTATTTCTTCAGGAGTCCTTGTCCACAAACTAGAAGCATCTACAGGACATATTTCTTTTAAATTAAAGTGTTCCAAATCCAAATAATCTGAAAATTTGTAAATCAGAAAGAAAAAAGTCCCAAAGAGAGTTTTGGTGAATAGATTATTCTTTTTTAAATTTTCTGAAATCAAAACATTTACAAATAGTATGTATTTCTAACTGTTACTATGATAAGTATTAGACTCAAATAAGAGGATATTATTATATGTTATGTATCTTATAATGATAAGTTACAGGCCCAGACTCACATACTGAGGATACAAATATCAGAGATGTAGAACTAGTGGATTAAAAATACTAATAAACACATTCATGTTTTCCCAAGCACAGAAACTTCATGTGTCTGTACCCTACAAAAGGACATCCTCTAGGAGTAAGAGGATGCATATCTATCTTGTGCATGTTCACATCACTACAATGACATAATGCAGGAGAAAGGTTGAACTAAAAGGCAGAAGACCTGGGTCCTAGTCCTCTTAGGACTCCTGGAAGGATTACCTAGTTCAATGTGGATGACCATGGATTATGGAAAGATATCTCTTCTCATTGATAGGAAGAACCAACATAGTGGAACTGGATATACTCCCAAAACTGTTATTTGTATTTAAAGCAATCCTGATCAAAATACCATTTCATACCTCACTAATTTAGAGAAAACATTCCTGAAATTCATCTGGAACCAGAAGAGATCTAAAAAACTGAAGACAATTCTGGGCAACAAATGCAAGGCAGGAGGCATCGCAATCCCTGACTTGTATTTATACTATAGAGATACTGTGATAAAATCAGCAAGGTACTGGCAGGGATTAAAAAGAGACCTGAGAATCAGTGGAACAGAATAGAAGATGCACACACAACTACAAGTTTGTTCAGCAACTTTATATTTGACAAAGGAGTAAATATGTTCACTAAAAGAAAGACAGCTTCTTTATCAAATGTTGCAGGAAAAACTGGCTTTCCACATGCTAAAGATCAAAACTAGACTGACACATATCATCATGCACTAAACTAAAGTTAAAATGAATCAAAGTTCTAAATATTAACACAGAAACACTGCATCTATTGGAAGAGAAAGTAGGCAAAGACATATGGGTAGGCAGAGACTTCATGAATGATAACCAAACTACACAGGGAATACTTAAAATAATTAACTAATAGAATCTCATTTTATTAAAAAGTTTTTGCACATCAAAAGAAATCACCAATAGAGTGACAAGAAAACTCATGAATTGGGAAGAAATTTTGGCCCACTGTCCCTCAGACAGAGGATTTCTTCTAGAACATATAAAGAATTTTTAAAAGTCAAGGTCCCAAAATTCAAAGATCCAATAGAAAAAATGGACATCTGAAGTGAATACACACATCTCAGATGAAGGAATGTAAACTGCAAATAAATATATAAAAATGTTCACCTTCTTTGATCATTCAAGAAATGAAAATTAAAACAAACATAATCTATCTCACTCCAGAAAGAATGGTTATCATAAAATCAATATCAACAAGAAATTCTGGGAGCCTGAGACAAAAAAGGAACACTCTCTACCGTTAGTGGGAGTGTAGACTCATGCAACTACTGTGGAAATCAATGTGGAGTTTCCTCAAAAATTCAGATTAGAGATCGCACCAACCCAGCTAGTCCCCTTCTCATTATTTTTCCAAAAGAACTGAAAACATCATATCACAGTGGTTCATATGCACCCATATTTATAGCAGCACAATTTATAATAGCTAAATCTTAGAAATAGCCCAAATGCCCATCAACTGAAGACTGTATAGAAAAGATGTGGTATTTTTATACAATGGAGTGCTACTCAGTTATAAAGATAAACTCGAGAATTTTATAGGTAAATAAATGCAACTAGATACCATACTCATAAATAAAATAAATCAGACCCATATTTGTAACCATCATATTGCCCCTCCTAGTATAAAAAGCTGAAACAGCAAATAAGATCCAAAAGGTACATTAGATATAGTGACAGGGAAAGAAACTGCCCAGAAGGTAAGAACAGCTGGGATGGGAGAAAGGGGAAGAAAAGGGAAGAGAAAAAATAAGATTATATAATGATATATTATATTCTATAGGACAGCTAATTGTACTAATTCCTATTCATTGAAAGGAGCAATGTGCGTGTTGTTTGATTGATCTTGCATGCTTCTGACTGCTAATCTGAGAAACTGCTTTGAAGATAACAATAAGCACTGTTAATTTCCTATCATTTATTTTGAAATTCCGTAGGGTTTTTCCTTTTATTTTCTAAAATAAAAAACAAATCACTCTACAAGTCTTTATAGCTAGTGGTTAAATCAGACCCATATTTGTAACAAAAACATGATTAATAGATGTGTAAAGAAGCAGACGAACATCACTGTGTTTTGTGAGCATCACTATATCTTTGGACAGTGTCTGGTGACAATTGTTAAATATAAGTAAGAGAGCTTATTAATATCTCTCACAAGCACTTGCACATATTTAAACATGAAATCTGTGTCCTTCCCATCTTTCAAATTTAGCTTTCTAATCCAAATCACCACAAGCATATATAGACATAGAATAAATTAGAAAACACTGAATTACATTTATTCAATAAAAACAAAATTATTTTCTCATGAAAATGTCATATATTATATCATGACTCTAACATTTAGAGATATAAAAAATATGTGAGGTTTTTAAACAACGTTCATTGTAATCCCAGAAACTTTTTACTAACCTTTTTGCTCCTCTTCTTCTTCCTCTTCTTCCTCAAAGTTAGTTTTTAAAACTAAAGGATCATGAATGGGTCGTGATATATTTTCCTGAGGTTTCAAAGGCTCCTGACTCTGAGTCGGGGATGGAATTCTTTCCTCATTGTCTTTCTGAAGTGTTATATCTGCAGTAAAAATACAAGTTTTCATTGTATTGTTATTTAATGGCAAATCATTGCTTTCTTAACTAACCCCACATTGTCTTACAATTTATCACTTATTTTTGGAAAGATTTTTAAGCCAACTCATAATTAATATCAAAATGTTACCTACAATTCAGGGAAATCATCCACTTCATAGACTTTAAGCAGCCATTGTAATCAAAGGTTGGTACCTCACAAATGTGGGGATACAGGTGGTTCCTGACTTTTGATAGTCCAAATTTACAAAGGTATGCAGGCAGTACAGTAGTGCCTTGGTTCATGAAAGTCTTTGCTTGTAAATGGCTTGGTGTACAACCAAAAGAGTTTGGCAAAATTTGTTTCTGTTTACAAATTCTACATCGGTACCAAACACAAAAACAGCCATCTTTCCTACACAAATAAAACGTTGTCATCTTTTCCAAAATCATGGAACAAATTAAGTTCACAAACCAATATAGCACCGTAAAAGCATTCAGTAAAAATCATACTTCAAACTTTGATCCTGACTCAGGTTAATGATGGAGATTCTCTTAGTGGGGGCAGAGCCAGTGGGCCTTGACTCTGACTGTCCTATATGATCAGAAGTGTAAACAGCCAGTGCTTTTCAGTGTTCTGTTTGGCCAAACTATGATGCACAGTGTGTTAGGTGTAGTAAGTGCATTTGCAGTTTATGATAAATAGGGGAAGATGGACAAGAGCCAAAAAACACAGAAAATTTCAAGAAACTGGGAAAGACAAGACTCCAGAAGAGACTAAGTGCTGCAAACACCTGAATTCTAACTAAAAGATTTCTGTGTCAAACTTGTAATCTGTGGAAAAATTGGCTAATATATAGGATATCAACCAAAGCCATGTCACTTATGGTAATTTGTTATAGTAATAGAAAACTAATAAATGGGGGTACTAGAAAAAGTGCCATTGGATCCATGTTGGAATGATTACACTTTAAATTACTGGTAGAGCGTAGTAGATTTGTTGCAAATTTTTCATCCTCCATCTTGTCATTCTTAACGAAAGGTAACTTAGATACAGACACCAGTGAGAAATTGAAGAAAAAAGAACTTTAAACATAGAACAGTTTCTCTCAGAATATGTCTGTGATTTGTTATTAGCTGTGAAGAAAACATGTTACTGAAAATTCAAAACAGGAAACAGTAGAATTACATTTTCTTAAGTTTTATGGAGCATATTTAGCATTTTAGGTGTATAGTTCAATTAATTTTTTACAATAGTTTAGTATATTCAGTTGTTCAACCAAAACTACAACCTTAAAACATTTCATTACTCAAAAAAAAATTACCCACTAATTAGCAGTTATGCCTAATTCTATAGTCACTGACACATTTCTTGTTACTATACTATAGATTTGTCAATTCTTGTTATATAAATAGAATCAAACAATATGTGATCTTCATCAATGACATTTCTTTTTCTTTTTTTTCAAAATTTTATTGATAAACAGATAGCAATGAGACAGTTTCAAATCAAATTAGAAGTACAGTTTCAAAAAATAATACACTGTATATATTCTTTCTTAGTGGTTAATTGCTGTAAATGACATTTCAATTATTATCTTCTTAAGGTTCATCTACTCTATTGCATATAATGGTCTCTCATGTTTTTTTCATAGACAAATGACATTTCATTGCATGAATAGATCAGATTTTACTTATCCATTTATCTGATCCTGGACACTTGGTTGGCTCTATTTTTTGTGTATAATAAATAATGTTAAAGCAAATATTTTTATATATCTAGATGTGTATTTTCACAGCTCTTCAGATGTACCTAGCAGTGGAAGAGCAGGGCCATATGATGACTCCATCTATAACATTCTGAGGAAATGACAGTTTCCAAAAATAGTCCCACCATTTTATATTCCTATCTGCAACATGTAAAAATTCCAATTTCTCCACATTATTGTCAACTTTGTTATCAATATTTTAATCTGAAAAAAGTTATCATCTTAGTGGGTATGAAGTGATACATAATATGGCTTTAATTTATATCTTTCTAATAGTTAAGGATATTGTTTTTTATGTGTATTTTGGTCACTAACATATCTTCCTAGAAAAATATTCATATCACTGGACCACCATTTTGCAAAATAATTATGTTTATATTACTGAGTTTTAAGTGTTCTTTACATATTCTAGATATGAATGCTTTCTCATATATATAATTGGAAAATATTTTCCCCCATTGTATGGGTGGTCTTGTTACTCTGTTTATAATATTCTTTGATGCAAAATACATGAATTTCTTATATTGTTGCTATTGGTCGGGTAATATCTAAGAAAATTTCAGTTTTTTTCTGAAAATTTTAGAGTTTTAGTTGTTAAATTTCATTCATTGAAACATCTTGTTAAGCTTTCTATATAATAATCTGAAGAAAAAGACCAAATTATTTTTTTAAGATGTGGTTCATTCATTTAGAGTAGAGCTGCTTTTTCACACTAAGATCTTGTGGAAGGAACAATGATGACCCAAATACCACAGATCCTCTGTCCTTACTGAGGTTTAGTAAAGTTTTTTGGGTATTGCTTCCTTTATTGCATACCCATAGACAATTTCCAAAGTTTAGTTGTCTTAATGAGCAATTTTTTACCAAGTGTGGTCATTTGATTAGGGAAAAGGTTCATGAAACTCTTCTGAAAGTTGTTGTATAATCACAGATTTTAACATATAAACAGATTAGTTACAGGTTTCTCAAATTATTCATATCTTAAAACAGATGGATAAAATTTTAGTCATTTTCTTTCATTTGCAAGTTGATCCATGAGATATTAAAAATCTATGTTATCAGGTTAAAATCACAAAATATTTTAATTAAAAGCTTTAACATTTCTTTTCAGATTATAAAAAGTTTACCTCATTCTAATTCCTGTAACATTAGGATAACATGACACTTTTAGACATTAATTTTTAACAAATTCCTAAATCCACTTGTGTTCCCATGACAAAACACTTGAGATTAGGCAATTTATAAATAACAAAATTGTATTTCTCACAGTTGTGAAAGTTGCCAATTTCAAGAACAAGGTGCTTGCTACCTGATAAGGCACTCACCTCCCATATTAGATTGACCATCTCCCCAGCCCTGAGCAATTAGATATATGTCATACAATATTTTGAAAAAAAAATTTTAGTTATGTAAGGGTTTTTTTAATTTTTTTTATTTTCTTGCCCCATACTCCTGCTCTAGTCATAGGTCAAAAATATGAGTTTTCATTTAGGAAAATTATCTTTCCATTTTCAGTGAGCCCACTTGGTTTGAATAAGGATGATTTCTGGGCCCCAGAGATTAACACTTCCCCTGTCTTGAATAATTGCTAAGGAGAAGCATGATTTTCATACCATAAAATGAGATTTAATATTAAGGCTTTAGGTGGAGAAAATGTCTTCTGATATTTTTAATTTAGAATAATGATAATAATAATGTTAATACTGAGAACTTCTTGCAAATAAATTTTAAATATTCAGTATGAATCTATCAAATGTCTAGGACAATTCAATGACATAAGTAACATTTTTTTATTGTAATTTTTTTTTTCAGTACCGGGGATTGAGCTCAGGACCCTGCGCTTGCTAGGCAAGTGCTTATTCTACTGAGCCATCTCCCCAGTCCCAACATTATTATTTTTATCATGCAGATGAAGAAATCAAACCAAAGAGATTAAGCTGCATGCGGCAATACTGGCAAGTATGAGGCAGGTTGAGGTCTGAGCCTTAATCTTTGCTTATTCTGTCTCAGGGTCTTGCTCTGGAGCTTTCTAGTGAACTACAATACAGTATACATAAAACAGCCAAGGGGATTAGGAATATACTTTATAGCTCAGTGGCATAGCACCTGCCTAGCAAGCATAAGGTCATGAGTTCAATTCCCTGTATCAAAGGAAAGAAGCACACAAACACGCAAACAAACACAGCTAACTAGCTCAGAACCAAGGGGTGGAGAAGGAAAACTGCATCTGAGGTCTGCTGTCCTTAATCTTTTCAATTACATAAGGCAAACATTTCCAGGTGTTCTTTAAATAATACTGTCGCATTTTTCTTCCCACCACCAATCTTATCCTGGGTTGGACTCAGATCAGCATGGAAAAACAAGCTATTAAAATTCACAGGAATTTTCCATGCCAACTGATATCACATTGGAATCTGAAATTGGGCATAGTAGAAATATTTCCTCTTTGGTAAGTGGTAAAAGCTTTTTTTTTTTTTTTTTTTTTTTTTTTTTTTTTGGTGAGGGGGTGGGGACCGGGGATTGAACTCAGACCCTTGCACTTGCCAGGCAAGCACTTATTCTACTGAGCCATCTCTCCGGCCCCAAAAGCTTCAAAGTATGACTTCTTTACCTTTTTAAAAAACCTCATTGGGGAAAAGATCTTGTTGTTAAACATTCAGTAGCATACAACTGCTTGAGAGACAATCTCAACTGTATGATAGACATCACGCCCAGACATCTCAACATGAGCTACTGCTTTGTGTACCTTACCAACTTCCATAATACATTCTTTCAAAGTAGATCATCATGTGCTGATATGAAAATTTTCCATAGTTAAATCACAAATGCAATGTAAAACATATAGGTTTTAAAGAAACATTTGCATAAATGACTATACATACTAAGTGAATATATATACAAAGTTTTTATTCAAACTCTGGGAATTGGGACTTACAGTTCTCCTGTATTTGAAAGAATAAAAAAGTGCCAATTTTTATAAAATTCAGAGTAGAAATTCTTAATTCTTTTATACACTATTCACTAATTCTTTATTATACTCATATAGAAAGGTTTGATTGGGAATAGTTAAATACATTTTTATGTAGACTGTATCAGTAGTGTTCTTACAAATAAATACTCAATGTGATTAGGAAGAAACTAAAAATAAATAAACAAAAAGGCCAATATCAGGAATATTCTTCAAAGCAACTGACCTGGATTCCTTTAAAATGTCAATGATCTGAAAAGGAAAAATATCTAGTAGCGCTTTCAACATTGTTATCCTATCAGAGTACACTAACCTGTACTGTATAACATGAAGAAAAGAATAAATACACACCATGCTTGCTTCCCAAAAAAAGTCAGAAATTCCCAAGAAGCACTTGAAATTACAGTAAATACTGGATGAAATGTTCTCTTAGCATTCTCAATTGATTTTATAGATATTTACTCTTAAACTTGGAGGTCATCACTAGAGGGAGGGACTAGGATATCTTTTGAAATTCTGTGGTTTAACAGCATTTAAATCTCTTTCAGAAGAGGCTAAAACCTTTTCACATTTTTTAGGTGGTTAATGTTTAAATTCCAAAAAGTCTAACAGGCAATTTGATACCTCCACGTGAAGAGGGGGAGAAAAAAAAAAGGCAAAAGAGAGACTAGACATTTGCTTGGTGTTTAGGTGTATGCTGGGAAAAAGGGCTGCCTTGGCTGCTGGTTTCCAGATGAGGATGCATATGGCTTGGCAGTACATCGTTTTTCATAAAATAATATCAACACATGTAAACTAAGGGGGCCAAGTTAATCAGATAGGCACAGTAAGTTTCATCCTTGTATGTTCCCTGTCAGTAGTCCACAAGCCATCCCCCTATCCTATATCCAAACACCCAATTTTACTGAGCATCTGTACTCCACTGTCAAAAAGCAATAATAAGGAAACCACTGAGGATCCTTATCCTCTTGTTATTTCGTCTAATGAAGAAGAGAAACATCAACCAAAGGTATTACGTGAGCTTTATGATTTGAAGACAGAATTTTCCAGAAGTGCAAAAGAAGAGGACAATTAGACTTTATTCATTTTCCCAAAGATTATCTGAAGCAAATTTTTCAAATCTCAAAAGAACTAAGATATGGCTTCTGTCACAGCAACCAATGAAGAAGAGTAGCCACAGCCTTCCACTATCCCATGGCCGTGGGCCTCAACAAGGGACAGAAGGTGACTAAGAATGTGAACAAACCGAGGCACAGCATCGTGGATGCCTCACTAAACACACCAAGTTCATGCGGGACATGATCCAGGAGGTGTGTGGCTTCGCCCCTATGAGTGACGTGCCATGGAGCTGCTCAAGGTCTCCAAGGACAAGTGTGCCCTCAGGTTCATCGAGAAAAGGGTGGGGACATACATCCATGCCAAGAGGAAGCGTGAGGAGCTGAGCAACATGCTGGCCACCATGAGGAAGGCAGCTGCCAAAAAGGACTGAGCCTCTCTGGAATAAAGCTTTGCAGAAAGTTTAAAAAAAAAGAACCAAAATCTGAAAGCTCATTTCTAGGACTATTTCATCAGAGTAATTTATTGAAGGAAGGTAAAGTGGATACAGCATCAGGGAAAATTTAAAACTTCTCTTGTTGTTTTTTCTTGTGATTTGATCTATTTTATTAGATTATCTTTGTTATGTAATAATTTCATGTATCCTGGGGAATAGGTATTTCTTATCTTCAGCACAGTTCTTCCCCTTACTGCTTTCAGTACAATGTCTTCTGTTTCCCTTCGAGAACATACTTCAAAGTTCATCAGAAATTGGCCTCAGAATAGTTCAGGTGGATTGAATTGTGCCACTTCTTGTGTCAGAAAGAATTTATATTTTCCCCACAGTTACAGTCTCAGGAAGATTCACAGCAGATAGCTGCTCTGCTAGAAACAGAAATGCACAGCGCAGCCCCTGTCCTTGCTCTCCCACCTGAGGCATGGCTCTGAGTGTAGGGAGCTGCATGTAGCCGTGCCCTAGGATGGCGCCGGTTTCCGCCTTCCACCCCCTCAAGGGGTGAGCGCTCCTGGAGTAAACAACTCCATATATGGCCAAGGCTTGGGCTAATGCATTGCTTCCGCATACCTGGACCAATGGGCAGTACACACGTGGCACCCCATGGTTGGAAGCCCTGAGACTTATAAGCTAAGAGCAGGGGCCTCGGGAGAAGACAGAGAGAAGACGGATGCAAGAGAACAATAAAGAGCTGCGCAGAAAACCAACCAGTGGTCGCGTCGTTCTTGCAGGCAAGGCCGCGCGCGACATCTGAGGTCTGCAGAGGCCACAACCTCTGAGCTTGGCTCCAGTGTTTGGTGCTTTGCTGAGTCAATCACTTGCTCAATGAGACCCATAGCCATCCCACTTTTCCAGATGAATTAAAGGTTTTACATACACACAGTCAAAGGAAGTTTAACTTATTTTTTTGCTTTCCTTTCTTTTTTCCTTGTTTCTTCCATTCATCTGTTGTCTGTCCTTTCATCTATCCTGAACCAAGGACTGATCCCAGCGGTTCTCTACCAGTACTTTTCATTTTTTATTTTGAGACAGGGTCTTGCTAAATTGCCCAGATGGCCATGAACTTGCAATTCTCCAGCCTCAGCCTCCCATGCAGCATGGATTACAGGTGTGAATTATGGGTTATTTTCTTCATATTAGCAATAGGGGTGCATTCCAAACTTTTCCTCATGATTCTTGATAGAATCATCCCAAGTCTCCACTGGCTATTAAACTGTACTGCTCACCTTGTCATGTTTGAATGTGTCAGTGTGTGCCGTGACTGCAAAACCAGATTACAATATGGTATGCCCATGTTATTCAATAAAATATACTCACTGCTACTTGGTGGCAAAAATAATCCATTGATATTTCGAGGTTTGCTGTGATAAAAGATACAGCTGATCTTCACACAACCAAGAGGTTGAGTTTCCCAGAAGCATGAAATGCTGCAGTTTTGCTGGATGAAAGAAACGGGGAGCAATGTGATGATTAGGTGCCATATAACCAGCAAACAGAAAGTGCTACAACAAAATATAACATGGCAAAAACAATTGCAATTACCGATATAAGATCATTTATTTCCTGGTTTTCATTGTGTTTGTATTAAAAGATGCAAAGGCTATTTCCAGAACATGTCCTTCCAGTTTTCTAAAATTTTAAGTTAGGCCAAGTGAAACGTACCTAAATTAAATAATGTGATGAAGGGTAATTTTCCTTATCCTAAAAGTATAACGCAGCATTATTACAGGGAGATGCTTTTAACAAAAGTGATGGGATTGGATGATTTTTACCTGCATTTCCATGTGTCTAAATCTGCAAAGTGGATCTAAACATTTTTTCTCTCTCCATAATGAGCACACAGCCTCACTGCCAAGGGCCTCTTCGCAGTGTCGGAACCGGCACTGGGAACCCTAAAAGCAAAAAATAATCAGTGCAGAGAACTCGAAATTTTTATGTTAGTGTTCATCAATAATAGGTTGCTAATTAAAGGAATCATTATATCAAATAAGAATCACAAAAAACATATAACAATGTAGAAGAATATCTTTATTTTAGCATTCGTTTATATTTAGAGAGAAAATGATAAGAAAATCTAATGATTAAATAAGACAACATGCAGTGAGTTGCTCATCAAATGTTTTTGGTTATCAGCTAATCCATAGAGTTCACTAAGAACAGAGATAGAAGATACCAATGGCTCAGTGACCACTATTGTGTTATAGAACTATCTAATTTCTTTCTGAAGAAATCCAGATGAACTCCTTTTAAGAATCACTAACTATGTTCCAGCTTTGAGGATAATCCCTGTCAAGCAATCTTTTGATTAGGTCATGTGACTTGTTAGCCTGTAGAGATTCTGTTCAGTGTATTTATCTGGAGAAAAATTAATGAAGCTTAAATTTTACACAATTATAAAATTTTAATTACATTATGCCACATAATATGTATTTATGCTTTATTCCCATAGCCTGAAAAGATAAACAGGTACAGATGCATATGCATACTGACACATTCTATATTACAACAAAAGTAGATATAGATTATTTCAATCTATAATCATTTTTAAAAGACAAATTCTATGTTCTTTTACACATGGATTTACAGTTATAAAAATTACAAGCCATTGTTGTGTATAAGGAAGTAACACACGATAAAAATTACAGTAGTTTTTTTTTTTTTCTTTTTCAACAACACGGGTCCCATTCTTTCTTCACTTTTGTCCCCTTTGAAAAGCAAATCTGTGCATTCTTCAAGTACAGGGTACTAGAAGGGACTTTGAAATCACACAAATCTGTATTGGAAAACCTGGGTTCACTGTGACTGGTCCACAGTCACAAAGTTAATACTTAACTTCTTTTCTGCCCTACTTTTCTTATTTGTGGAAAAAAATACCCTCTCCAAAGACAGCTGTAAAAACTGTTGTAAGGTTTTGACATAGCTATTTTTCACTCATTTCACTAAGTACTTAATGATAAACAGAGAAATGAACAAAACTCTGGGATAAAAATTTTATTATTTTTCATCTTAATCTAAAGATAATAGGAGCAGATCTACTTCCTGGGTTCAATGAGTTTGACTCCATTCATGGTTTGTTTGTTTTTTTTTAACTAAATGAAACACATTAAACTAGACATACCAGGGCCAGCAAGATAGCTCAGTGGACTAAGCACCTGCTTTGGCAAGCATAGGGACCAGGGTTCGATCCCCGGTCCCGCATGCTGTGCTGGCCCCGCCCCCTGGGTGCAGTGAGCCAGCAACGGAGTCTTGGCATAGTGGTGCAAGCCTATAATCCTGGCACTGGGGGGGGGGTGCTGAGAACAGGAGGATCACTACGAGTCTGTGTAGTGAGACCCCGTACCAAATACATAAATGAAAAAATAAAAAAATAAACTAGACATAGCATGTCTTTCTTTGATTTCAGACTGGCAAAAGCAGGAAGTTCCAAACAATAAGTTTCTGCATTTATTGAGTTTTATTGGAGATCCTTTACTCCATTTCTAACTTTCCATTTAATTTTACAAACTTTTTGGTACTAGGAATGCAACTCACAGCCTTGCACTTGGCAGGCATGTGCTGTGTTGCTGAGCTATATAACCCAGCCAAACTTTAATTTATATTTGACTGATCACATACACCTCTTTTCATGATATTTAATTACATGCTTACTTAGACTCTTGACAGAAGAAAATTCAATAGTTACGTTAGTGAATTTCAAATATGGACATAGATTTATTATACTGTTTGACAATAATCAAAATTCATTATATGTCTAAAACCGAATGAAACCAAACAATATAATAGATACAATAGTGACACATATAAAGATAATTTCAAACCAGTCACAATTTTGAATCATCCCAGAATCCTTAGAGAAATCTAGTGTATTATAAAACACAAGTTTTTACTCCAGATTTCAAATATACAACATATTTTGTGGTAAAACAGTACATTTTGATTCAGTGATAAAAACTATTGGTACAAATTCCTTCATGCTACTAAAAAGCTTATATTTATGCATGTAAAGTACTGTAAATTGTACATATTTACCTTTATGCATGTGGAATTAAAAAAGAAATAGCAGTCATCCCCAACTTCTGTCATTTTCAACTCCCTTGCTGTTACATCCAATGATTTGTTTATATATAGGTATATGTATTTCAAGAATACAGATAAACGAACAATCAGTGTGTGAAGGGGGAAAACTTCCTTTCCCCAGTCTCTGAGGCTAGCAGAGTAGTTCTTTAAAATACTGACCTTCTTTTGATAGTGAACTACATAATAGATAATTCTTAAATAAACAAATTAGAAGATACCTTCTCTAGCTTTGCAGAAATGTTGAAAGTGGTTGCTAGTAAACACCCAACTCAGACTTCCAGAATTTTCTTCATTGTTACCTAATCCATTGTTGGCTCATCATAGATGACCTCATATGTAACTGCCAGCTGGTTTACCTTACTAAATACTACATATACTTTATTCAATTCTAGAATATTAATGAAAAAATGACTCCTAAAAGTAAAGTTGAATATTTTATCTGTCAATACTGTTTGAATATGCAACCTAGTCTGTATTCAAATAGTTAAAAAATAATGACAAGTAAGCAGCAATTATCTAAACCTATTACATGCATATTTTTGGAAACAAAACTGAATTTTAAATACAGTAGGTAAAAATACTGACCATATTCCAAGAAAACAGGTATAATTATTTAAATATGTACTCACTGAATTGGGGAAAAAATCATTGACATTATTACACATTCATAGGAACATGAAAATAAATTTGAGTAGTTATTTATATGGTAGTTTTCTTCCACTTCTTATTCATCATTGAAAGAAAAATAACTTCTTATAGCAGAAAGGTTCCAAAGATGTTGAATGTTGAGAATATACTGAAAACAACGTGATATACTCTGTCAGGAAGAAATTTCAGCAAGCAGCTATTGAAGTCTTTATTCCAGCATTTTTGCTAGAAGAATTAGGACCTAGAAGAGATTAATGAAATATTTATCACAGGTCACTTAGAAGATGCTATGAACATAGTATTACACTAAATTGAAATATATATTTAAATTGCAATGCAATTTTAATTGAAAAATTTAAAAGACGAGAAATACAGAATTTATATAAAACAGGATAAATTCATATTAATACAAAGCTTCAAGATAATGATGTAGGAAATAAAATGAGACCCTAAGAGTTAGAAAACAGCTGTATACCTACCTTAACTGTATATATGAGATAAAAATAAAGTCTTTAAGTAAGTAAATAAGGAGCAAATAAAGGTTTGGGTAGACCCTTAAAATCATTGGTAAATATATATAGAAAATATATCTTGCCTTTCTCCCCTACCTTATAACTTTGAAACAACAAAGATCCATGTATAGGCTACACAAATAAAATGTTTCCTGTGTACTTGGAGCTTTACTGGACCATTTTCAAATTCACATTACCAAATACCATTATTGCATGATTAAATTTCACACAGAAGAAATGCTGAAAAACTTTTACCTCTTGAAATTGTACTAGACACAGCAAAACAGGTCAAACCCACTTGGAGATTTTTTTTTCTTTCACTACAGAACACATTAATATATTCATACATTTTGGTAATCTTTTGAATACTTAGAGTCCTGTCTTTTTTTTAAAAAAATTCTTTTTCCTTTCTTATTTTTTCTCTTTCTTATTCTCTTCACTCTTTGCCTGTTATTTCATTGTCCTGCTTTTACAGAAAGCCACCCTTGTGCAGCTTTACTCCCTGGCATGAAAAGTGAGAGGAAATTTATCACCATAGTTGAGGGTAGGCTTGAAAACTATTTTGTGTTGGTTAAAGGAGAGTTGCAAAAGTGTCTTTCTCCTTTGTGCATGCTAAAAAAACTGACGCTTCAAATCAAAGTCTTTTTTCCAATTTGTAATCTTGTAACACCACCTTAGGCAGAGTGGTTGGTAGCAACTCCTGTGTATTTCTCACAAACAAGAATCAGGCGAAGTTGATGACTGCTCCCCATCAGGCTAGGTGTCTGGTTTATAATAGTGGATTTATCTGTGGCTCTTCCCAGATTTGGACTCTTGTGCTTCTGTTACAAGCTTTGTTCCAGGGATAGATGAGATCAAAGGATTAAACATCGTGTTTCTCAGGAGGTGATCAGCCTGGCTGCTACTATTCAAAAAGTAGATAGAATGTTTTGAAAGATTACAGTTTCTCAGAAATGGCAGAATGTTGGACCTACAAGATTCTCTAGCAGTTGAAAAATGACAGTTGATATTTGGGAAGGTTGTTGTCTGATTGGTTTAATGAGACAAGCTGCTGCTTAGGATTTTGTTTTGTTTTGTTTTATGGAATGAAGCCATTGGCAGCTGACTGACTCTAAAATGCTAATAAGTTTCTGCTTCCAGTATCACATAGCCTGTATTATGTTATCTTTTTTCTTTTCCTTTTCTATAAACTTGGGAGTTGGGCTTATGCTAATAAAATGAAAACAGGGAACATAACAAAACAAAACACCACAAAATGGTAAATTTCTTCCTCTTTACCCCCTAAACCCAGCAATAAAATATTGAACTTTTAGGAAGGATATTCTAGTCTTTGGGAACAACCTTTTTTATAAGAAAGATATAGTTGTTTAGCTTTTTCAAGGGCTAAATCAATAAAATGCTGGCCAGTTGATACAGGTAAGACAATTAAAGAAATGAGAACTAAGCCTTGTCCAAGTACATAGACAATCTAAAGTCCTAATTCCCTTATAACTTTAGGCTGAGAACTTCTGTCTGCGATGAGATAGAAGAGCTACTATTATAAAATATGTAATATTTATTTTGTTCAATCATGGTCCTTATCACGTTAACGTTCTTTTCAGCAAGATTGTTTTTAGCTCTGCAGTTGGCTGGCTACAATTAAAATCCCTTTGAAACGCACCTTCAGTAAATAAGATTCTTGTGGAAAAAAACTGAGTGCAATCTAGTTGTATGTCTGTGGTTTTTGGATTAGTCTAAGGCTAGACTCCGTGCTCCAGAAAGTACATCTGAATCAATTTCAAGCATATTACAGGATGCTGAGAGTGAAGTAATTCAAACTTTTCTTTTTCAGTTGTTTTGTTGATTTTTCCCCCTCCGGGAACTCAATTTTCTGTGGTTGAAGTTATTCCTAAAACTTCAGGGCTTCCTCCATGAATTTGTCACAACAGACCAAGACAGGTATCCCTAGAACGATGTTAAATCGCCATCCGAAAATATTCACCACTTACAACTTGATAGTGTTTAATTTTCGAAAATATCACCGGTTACTGGGTGAGGTGCACACACCCGGAAAACGAACCCTTGTTTTTACATAGTCAGCAAGCCAAGGAAGCGCGCGAGGGGGCCCCCCGCAGGGCGCCTCCGCGTCGCACTACAACTCCCAGAAGGCATCGCGGCCGAGCGCCCGCTTCCGGGCGTGCGTCCCCGCCCCTCGCGCCCGATTGGCCGTCGCGGGGCGCCGTCGCCGTGCCGGGGCGCGGAGTGCGGGTGGCCTGCGCCTTGCGGCTGTCTGCTGCAGGAGGCTCTGCAGGAGGCTCCAGCAGCCTTGCTGAGACGCGCTCTCCCTTTTCCCTACTTCTTGAACCCACCATGAGGCGCCTGGGCTCCGTGCAGCGGAAAATGCCGTGTGTGTTTGTGACGGAGGTGAAAGACGAGCCCTCCGCCAAGAGGGCGCATCAGGTACCCATCCAGCCGCCCGCGGACGGGCTCCTCCCGCGGCCCCGCCGGGGCGGTCCTGGGGCGTCTGGGGCTCGCCTGAGCCCCGCTCCGTACCTTAGGGGCGAGGCGGGGCTCTGCGAGACGGTGGTTTCTCCCCAAAAGCTTGAGTGATGAGATGACCTCGCCACCCACGCTTTATACTTTTCAAGAGTGGGGTTAGAAAGTGGGGATGATTCTAGAGTGCTTTGCTTGCTTTCACCTGGGAACCCATGGTACAGTGACCCCTGACCCGGTTAAGTCAGACTTCAGTTAGCAGTCATCACTTACTTCTAACTTAAGGTTGCCTGTTTGCCTAGCTCACGCATTTACCTAGAACAGGCAGCCTCAGTGAATGCTAATGAATGAATAATAAGTACGGCTGCACGGTGATTCTTTAAATGTGGCAAAATCGGCGAGGAGCAGAATCTCGAGCTGTCAGTTGGGTGTTTCCAGTTTGGAGGAAATCGGCGTGTGCATTGGTAAACAATCCCGGTCCTTTCATCATTAGCATCTGCCTGTTCGATGAAGGACCTACCTTAAAGCAGTTGCTGCCGGCTTTAGTCCCAGCTTCTTGGATTTGACTCGTCGTCACCACCGGTTTCCCATTCAACCTTGCTGCTTTTACTTATCTGATCTTTCCATACTCTTGTGTTGCTGTCCTTGTTTTAGTTTTTAAATACACTGTCTCTCGCTACGTAGAATAATTATCACCATATTCTTCCCTAGTCAGAATCCTATAGTTAGCTGCTCAGTGTCTGTAGCAATCATTTTGTCAACTTTTTGCTTTTGTGCCTTAGTAAATCTAAGCCATAGGAAACGTCAGCCTTGATAATGGCTTCCTCTGATTTTCAGCTTTGTATAGTGAACGGAATAATGAAAATACCCTTCTTTTGGCTCTCTGCCCTGAAGCCTACTTTACAGTACTGTTACATTGTACTATCCAAATTCTTATTCATAAGTCAAGGCCTCGGGTTAGTCAGGCCCAGTTTATTCTGTAACCTTCTCACGTTGTAGTCTGTTTCAGTCTTTCATCCTGTGAGCATACCAAATGTAATCTTGGCGCTATCTTTCTGCTTAGGCTTTTCACTTTGCCTACGACAGTCAAGAATGTCTTTAATTTTTCTAACATTTATCTTCTCTATAAAATCTCTGATCAATTTCGTTAGCCCAGTTTCCCTTACCAAGAAATTGTAGAGGCCCTTTCAGTCCAATTGATAATTACCAATTTTTTTATACATGCGTACATTATTTTTCGAAGCATAGCCTGCCGTCTTTGGTGATAACTGACCTGGAACATTCTATTCTGTATTCATCAGTGTCTCATGCCTTCCTATTGATAGCAAAGAGGGATGCTTGTTGATTCTCGTGGAAGGAATACTTACGCTCAGCACAAACTATGTGCATGGTAGTTTACCTGGGATCTTTGCTAAATTGAAATTCACATACGTAGCTAGTAGGCTGGACTCTGGCTTTACTGTTCTCTGGCTGGACTCTGGCTTTTCTACCCTGGGTTAAACTGATATTTTTAGACATAAAAATAAGTGATAAATCAGTGGTAAATCCAAACTTAGTATATATTTAATATACTGAACCAGAATGAAGCTACTTTCTGTCTTTGACTGTTTGAAGTAGTATTCTGCTTTATTGCTCTTTAGCTTATGCACACTCATATAATGTTTATAGAGAGTTCTTCCTGGTACTCATCTCAGCCCAGGAAGTATATGTTTGTAATCCCATGGAAAAGTTATTGGAAGTCTAATGAGTAAATTCCAATCTGCCACTTCCAGTGCAACCCTTGGAAAGAATAAAGACACTAAGGCGTATTTGTAGGTGTGGGGAGCCAAGGGTCATAAGTTCAGTTACAGTGATGGCTAACTGGACCAAAGGCCTCGACCCAGGACAGAATCTGGGTTTTATTAATTTGTGTTAAAGGGAGTGGCTTGAGGATGGGTGGCTGTGAGAATGGCGGGAAGTAGGTGGTGCCGTGAGCTGGGCTGGATAGAGGCCTGAAACCACCTGTGAGAGAAGGATATGCAGAGAGAGTAATCTTCATGATACCACGAAGGTAGTGTTTAAGGGTTTGGGGTTGGCGCCTCAGCTCTGAAATGTGATCTTCTACGGCCTGGGAAGGTCTAGCTTCTTGTCTCTGAGCTGATCCCAGCCACACCTTGGAGCACCACAGCGTGGAGAAGGACAGCTCTCAGTCCTGCCCTGGCTCATACATATTTTATTTGGGGGCCTTGGGGGTGGGAAACCCTGCTCTGTTTTCTTATTTCATTGGTTGGACCAGTCAGCATTGCGTAAAGCCAATGGAGGGGATAAGAAAAAGTCCTAGCCAGCTTTGCACACATCAGTATAGGGAAATAGGGCCAGGTTCAGCCAGAATGGAGACAATTGCTGCTTCTTCAAGGATAGTTGCTCAGGTGGTCCTCCACTATGTTTATATTGTTGGGTTTTTTCTTTTCACTTTTTTTGGTGCATATTAACTTTAGATTTAGACTACTAAATATTGGCAGTAAATTTTTCTGAGAAATGAAAGTGACATACACAGATCAAGTTGGTAAAAGTCTTAGAAGCGGTCTTTCTCCATCCGTGATTTCTTCCAGAGTGGAAAAGTCATCAGTTAAATGTGTAATGATTTTCTCTTGGTGACACTGATGGGAAAGTAAGTGAATACACCCAGCAAACAAGTTAGGAAGAAACAAAAGGCAAAAGTGCTTTTAGTAGTGAAAACTGTTACGATAAAAATGTAACTAGACAAATTCAGCCTCAGATGTTAAGTATTCCCTGTGCACAGTGCAGAATTGAAAGGATACCTAGGATGGCCAAGTGGACTGCCTGTGGCCATGGGTAAGGTGAAGGTCCCTCAGAGTACAGTTTCAAAAATCACCCAAGCAGTGATGTCCGAGTCGAACTGCTTCAAACACTGCCGGCCTAACCTAGGACAATGCACTTCACAAACAACATGCACAAACTTTTTGAAGGAGTGACCACAACAATGTTTGGATTGACATTAAAGTGAGACTTTGAACACAATATTCAAAGTCAAAGATTCATGAGATTAGGTGGCAGTACCAGGTAACTGTGATGAAAACTATGAAAGTAAAGCCTGACTCAAAAGAGATTTGTTTTATACATATGATTTTATTTTGCCTTCTTGGGTATGTTGAAAGAAAATGTTAACTATAGTTGATAGAGCACTGAAGTTTATGTTTGTAATAAGAGCTTTCCAGATAAAAGGTAATGGTGAGACACCATCAGAGGTTAATCTTTCTTTCAAGTAAATAATATAATTTTCAAGAGTACTTGTTGAACTTTATAATGCTTTTTTTTTTTTTTAAGGATATAAAGAAGGATAAACTTATCCTGAAAACTAAAAAACCAAAAACCTTCAAGGTCTGTCAGTGATCTGAAATAATCACCTATTAATGAAAAATCTACCACCATGGCTCAGGTGAAACCTTAAAGGAAACTGTTATATTTATCTTTCCAAGTTCAAGAGGAACACCATGAAACAAATGGAGAAATCATCTTGATTTTAGCTCTTTCAGAAGTAGCTCCGTAGGGCCAGCAGGATAGATCAGCAGACTAAGTGTCTGCTTAGGCAAGCGCAGGGACTAGGGTTTGATCCCTGGCACCACATGGCCTGTTGGCACCACCCTCAGGCACGCTGAGCCAGGCAGGGTCCGAGACTGGGCATGGTGGTGCCCATTTGTAATCCCAGCACTGGGGAGGCTGAGACAGGAGGATCACTGTGAGTCTGAGCTGTGTAGTGAGACCCTGTATAAAACACATTTAAAAGAAAAATCCCTCTGTAGGTAATAAAAGTTGATGTCATTATGTGAAGGATAAGACGCTGAAAGAAATACCAGATTTATCTCAAAAGGTTCTTTGTCATTCTACCTCTGGATAATGAAATCATCCAGAGAGGTGCTTTTTTTCTTTATGCTTTTGTATTTATTTACTTTATAGATTTTCCATGATGAATAAGGAAGTTGTTACTTTGCAAGGGAAAAATAGCAAAAGTAAAATGACCCATGTTCCCTGTATCTTTTCTGATCCCTGAAGATGTAGCCAGAGGCAGGAAAAACTATATTCTTGCTCAAACCAAGATCTAAATCTTATTTGAAAAACAAGACTTATTCTTGCAAGACTCAAAATTCTGATTGGCAGATACTTATACAGTGGTCCCTCACTTATCGCAGAGGTTACGTTCTAGACGGCCCTGTAATAAGTGAAAATCGGTGAAATAGGACCTTATATTTATTTTAGTACATATATATATATTAAGGCTTTTAAACCCTTCTCACACTGTTATAAACCTTTCCTACACTTTTAAAAACACTTCTAATGTTCTTAACCATTTTCTAAACTCGTAAATCCATGTAATTTTAACAGCATACATATGCTGTATAGTACTACAGAATCCTGCATTGTAGCAAAAATCCATGATAAATACTGTAGATTACTGTTTTTTGAAAACCTGTGAAACAGTGGGCCCGCGAAAGTTGAATCAGGAAATGACATGAGGTTATTGTACTAAAACCACCAGAAGCACCTATGGAATTAATTAAATGTTCGATCTAGTTTTACCTGCACTCAAGTACAAACAGTGGCTGTTTTACATTCTTCAGAGGCATGAAGAGACTTTCTGGCCTGGAGTTCTTTCCAGTTACATGGTGCATTCCTTCACTTCAAATCAGCTGCGTATTGCCTCCGAGGGGCTTTGGATAGCACCTTCTCCCTCTTGCCTTTATCCCATCTGCTCTGGGCAGTGGTACCTGTCCTACCTATTGTTAGGCTGTTTCCCCAAAGGCAGATTTTGTTGTTGTTGTTCTCCCTGATATTTCGCATGACAAGGACAGTACTTAAGATATTGCAGACTTTTAGTGAATAATTGTCAAGTATGTGGTTGTTCATATTTTCTATAGGACTTGGCTCATGAAGTGACACATTACAAACCATATGACAAATAAGGTTTTGAGATGATAGCATAAAAGAGAGGGGTTGATTCACAATTCCATGAAAGAACTATTTTTAAATTGTCTTGCAGCATGGACAGGAAATCATGCCTTAGAACTAATGAAAGGAATCTTTCAGGTGAGAGTGTGCAGACAGAGACTGTGTGTCTTAAACCAGTTTGTTTTTTCTCTCTCTCTCTTTAAAGCCATTTAAAGTTTTGGCAACTGAAACTATAAGTCACAAGGCATTAGATGCAGACATACACAATGCAATTCCAACAGAAAAAGTGGATGGAACATGTTGTTATGTTACTCCCTACAAAGGTAAAATAAACCTATCATGTTTACTACGAGTATGCTTATTTTTCTTTCTTTTGAAACCATATAGATCCGAAATGGGGCATTTGCTCTTCATCAACCCTGGGAAAGCTAGTGTAGGAGCAAAATAAAAATATTACTATTGTTATTAATAACATTTTTGTTTTTTTTCTCTTGAGGCAGGAAAGGAAGGTAACTCATATTTACTCAGTACTTTTTAAAGGTCTTCCAGTGTGATAAGTGTCTGGTATATATTGTCTCTAATTTGTGCAGTAAGCCTGTCCATATCACAGAGAAGGAAACTGAGTCTCAGCCAATTTACTTTGTCCGGGGCTGTGTAGTTAGTAATGGCTGTACTGGAAATGGAACCTTGGTTGGTCTGAGCCCAAAGCTGCTTGTCTCACCATTTCCATTGCTTTTATTATTATTGGCAGTATCTCTAATTAATTTCATTGTACTGTACTTTAAAAGAGGCCCAAATTCAAACCATTTATCAGCTGGTTGTTAAGGGGAAAAAATGCCTTGGAGAGAAAATGATTCTTTGTGATTATTTGTGGATTCTCAGTTCCAAGAAAAGAAGCAGAGCTCTTCGGTGGGCATCCAGACGTATTTCTTGAATCAAGGTTCTTCTGAAATGTGTTTTAACATTGTGACAGTTGTGAAAGGAACACTCTTAAACATTTTCAGACAGACTGCAGTTTAATGGTGTGCACTATATTTTTATTGTTAGTGTCCCCACCAAGCATCTCCATGACTTTTATTTTTGCCAAACTGCAAATTTTCACTCATCAAGAAAGCCCCAGCTTTCCCTTCCCATCTCTTGGAACCAGCATTCTACTTTGTCTCCTTGAAATTGATTACTCTAGGTACCTTATGTAAATGGAATTGTACAGTGGTAGATTTTTGTGACTGGCTTATTTTCCTTAGCATCACACCCCTCAGGATTGAGCTATGTTAGCATATATCAGAGCTTCATTCCTTTTTAAGGCTGAATAATATTCCATCACCTTTGGGCAGCACATTTGTTTATTTGACCACCAGTTACACTTGGGTTGCTTCTCTGGTTTAGCTAAATAAAAGAAGAGAGGTAAATAAATACCTCTTGAGGCCCTGCTTCCATTTGGGGTACCAAGTGGATTACTGAGTCATATGCTGATTTTTATTCTTTGAGGAGCCACCATTCCATGTTTCATCATGATTGCACCACATTACGTGGCCGCAGTGTACAGATAATCCCCTTACTCCATGTACTCCCCCTCCTAATGGATGTGGAGTGGAATGCATTGTTTTGTTTACAGGTAAAAAGAACAAAGGATACATTCAACCAGAAAAGACAGAATGTGTTTTAATCTGGTTCTTGATAGTATTTAACTTGATAGCTGACAAATAGTGCAAAATATATGAACCAATACTAATTATAATGTTTTATAAACTACTGATTTATGTATTTGAAAGGACTGAGTTTTTTCATTATTTTAAGAAACTGCATCCTTATATAATTATGCATAACAGTTGATGGGGTTTTATCTGTTAAAGAATAAGGATGTGTAAAGAAGGCAAGTACTATCTTACAGCAAAGGATCTGAAGAGGAGAAGGGAAAGCTGGTCCCCTCCCCCACCCCACTGGGAGCCTTAGAAGGACCCCCGCCCCCATTGAGAGGCTTAGTAGGATGTACTTTGTACTTTCTCAGATCAGGAAACACTGAGTGTAGTTCTTTGGAATGTAACACTTTGGAATTGGTGGGAGTCACAGGAGCGCTGTTCCCTTTTTGCCCCTCATGAGGTATCTTCTGACTGAGTAAGGCATCGCAACAGCAGAGCCCTTCGGCAGTCTAAGACCAGGCAGGCACAGCTCATCAGCTGCGCTTTGACCAGGAAAGAGTGCTGGTCTAGGGCTTTTAAACTCAGACCTGTAATTACAAAGCAACATTGATCAGTATGTCTAATGCCTCGACTAGGGATTGGCGGCGGCATGCAAAGGTCAACCTAATTCCAGATCTGGTAGAATTCTCCATCACAAAACAGTGCACGTGGAGGGGAGTGTGAATATAATTACTTGGTTAACGTCCCATTTTCAGTTGAGGTATTTCAGTTTCTCACAAACCCTACTTACTGATAGGAGTGAAGAATGCCTGTTAAAAAGGACTATGTACTTTTATTGAAATAAAAGCTAAAAAATTCAGGGTCTGCTAAAGGTGGTATTTGGACTGCGTATTTCCCTTTGGCTTCTGAGTTGCTGCTTTGTTTTACAGAGGTGACCTTACTACTTACTGAAAAATTGTACTTGTCTTTTAAGATAAATTTTGTTTGCCTCTTATACTTTTCATTATTACTTCTTTCAGATCAGCCATACCTTTGGGCCCGATTAGATAGAAAACCCAACAAACAAGCTGAGAAAAGATTCAAGAATTTCCTGCGTGCCAAAGAAAACTC